AAATTACACACCTTTGGTACAATCTTATATTCAACCTCAGGACTCCAGCCATGAAAGCTACACTCTGGCATTTCGCAGACCACTTCTGCTGAACATAAGCCTCCAAGTTGGTGCAAACCCTGGCTCCTATTGAAATCAATCTGGGAAGCAGTCAAGTTGCTCCTGTATTGCCACAAAGCTGAAAAAAATGGGAAATCACTTTGAACTGAATGTGCTGATGCTTGCTTCTTCACCCAATTAAACATCTTGGAAGCACAAACTAAACAAATGTTTGTGTCCACAGGATGTTTGGCCATGTGGGACAGCCACAGCAGAGTCTGATGGTGGCATCATCAGCGTGTACACACACATACACACGCACACAAGGGTCACTGAATATCAATCCAAAGTGTGAGGCTTTTTTTTTTGCATCCCTCTTCCGGAGTGCGGAGACTAGATGTAGCACACATCCTGAGAATGGCTGTAGAAACTTTAGCTTTCAGATTATGATTCAGTTTTCCTTTTTATTTCACATTGATGCTTTGTCTTTTCATCTCTGTTGGAAGGATACAAAAATCAAAGGGAGAGTGATTTCATCTGCTTGCTTTAGAGCTTTGAGTTATCTTTGGAAGATGATTAAATGAGGATGTAGGTTTGTTCCAATGATAAGGACATCTGTGTAAATTATTTTATTGGCTACCCCAAGAAAGGATTCATCCATGCTGCTGTGTGTTATTGCACGTGGGAAATCAATCCATTGTTAAAGCAGCACTCTCTCCTAAAATCCAGATAAATACTGCACATTTGTCGTCACACCCCTCGGCAGGACTCGGGAGTGAACAAAAGCAGTTTTAACTTTGATGAATCCCAAATTCATGAATCATTAAAAAAATCCATCTTTTACCCAAGGGAAATCAAACAAATTCATTGCTGGAGGCCAATTCTTCAGTGGACTGTCAGCACTGAGTCACGCATGATGTCATGCAAGATCCTGCCCTCTACCAGCTGCCCTCAAAATTAAATACCTGCCGATGAAAGCAAAGGCCCATGATTTTGCTACCTGCTTCTAAAAATTAGCACAATCTGATCCATGAGCCCCCTACGAGGTAAGATTTTTAAAGAAAAAGTACTAAAGTGACTGTGTAATGGTTATTGTGCCTGGGTATTCTTCAAGGAAGCATTCTTTTAAAATATCAGATACTACCTTATATTCTTCCACGTTTTGCATCTACAAACCCCCTCTTCCCCCCCCTCCCCACCAACTTATTCCTTGCCCCACAAAATATTTGTCAGCTCAGCTTAGTTGGTAGTAATCTTGCCTCTAGGTCAGAAGGTTGCAGGTTCAAGTCTCATGTTGAAGGCCAAGCTCATTGCCTAGACTAACATTTTTCCAGATGCTATCTTGTTAAGACATTAAACCAAGGTCCCATCTGCATGTTTTTCACGTGAATTTTTACAATCCTGCCACACTATTTGTTAAGGGGAGAGTTTCTACCGGTGTCCTGGCCAATAATCCTCCAGGTAGTTGGTTATTCAATTCATAGCTGTTTGTGGGACATTGCCGTCCCATTTTTCTACAATTGCTGCACTGTACAGAAATCTCTTAAGTGCTTTGAGACATTTCAGTGTGTAAGGCACTGAACAAACTACAAGGAAAATTATTAAATACAGTAATTCTTATTGATGCAAATTGGTAAAGTGGACTGGACAGCAGCATTGCACCTCCTCTTCATATCCCATGTAATAGTACTGTTCCTCCAAAATGAGATCTGGAGTTTGTCCAAACCTCTTCTAGGTATGAGAGGTGTCTTACGCTCATGTTAAAACTTCTAATACTTACTGCGGTAGGATATAAAATATCAAACTCCAGTGCTGCTTGGACTCAGATAACTGTGTTCCATATCTGCACAAATTACAGATTTCCGAATTAAGATCACTATTTATGTACCTCAAATCTGAAAATAACTGTCAGTACATTTTCTCAACTTGTAAGCCACCAACCAAGACTACAAAGTGCCCAGACAGACACTTTCCTGATCACAGAATTTCACAAGCCAAAAACAATTCAGTTCCACTGTGGGTCCACCTCACTCTCTCCACTTTCAATACTGCAGGAAGCTATCTCACCAAAGAATCAGCACATACAGATCAACTCACATATCCACCCCCATCCAGGAAGTTGTTAAAATACTGTTATTATATTCATAATGATCTCACGTTGTAGTCCCAAGTTGTGGTCTGGCACTGAGATACACTGACAGGCAGGGGGAAAAAAACATGTATGAATCAATGCAAGCCAATCTCACACTGACCTTAGTAGATGAGCATACCCACATGGTTGATGTGAATTGTGGCACTTTTTTGTAAACTGAAGCAATTTAAACCAGCTGAGCTAGTTTCACCGATAGTCTCTTCACACAGCAAAGCTATAATTTTTTAAGAGAGTATAAATACTACTGATATGCACTAAGCTATCAGAGTGCATCATTCCACTTACAGAAATACAGTATAAAAAACTAGCAGCTTGTTTAGTCAGGAAGAAAGTAGTTTAAATGCTTTTAAATCCACCTTTATAATAATAATAAACCTTGCATTTGATATAGCGCTTTTCACGTCGGGAGGACGTCCCAAAGCGCTTTGCTCAGATCACATATAATATTCAAACAATGCTCAAAATAATACATATTCAAGTTACTATAATCAAAGATTTCAATTTATTAGCTCATGTCAGTTTCACTAGCTGAAAAAATATAAATCAGGAACAGATATACAATGACAAGAAGTAAGACAACACAGTTGCACAGCTGAAGTTGATCAGAGGAAGGGTGAGAGCCGCACACACAGAAATAATTTTACCTTCAAATAAAAAGCTGTACCACAAAGTCCATACCTCAAATCGTGCAATGAATACAGCAACAAAAATATACTGGATGCTTCTAAAAAAAAATCAGATTTTACTTTGATGTCACCATCAATTTCAAATCATTTTCTCCATGCCGAATTAACCATCATATGAAAGCAAAACGTATTCTAACATATTTTTAGAATTGTATTCTTGCATCGGAAAACTCTTCAAGATGCCTATAGCCTGTACATATTGGCTGTTTTTGCACTCTGGCTTGCTGCCAAAAACAAATCAATGTATGCACACCTCATAAAAATTTTGTATATAAAAATTATATAAATATAACTTATTACCTAGATCAGTAAAATCCTCTACAATCCAGCTTAAAAAATACAATAATTTACAATGATTTTAGAAATTAACTGATCTAGGTAATAACAAGTCACATTATTATTTTTAGGTTTTATGAGGGGTGCATAAACAACCCAAGCTGGATATGCACTCCCAGATGAAACCCACCACATGCTCGTTTGACCCTATCCCTACTCTTCGATTTACCTCCCAGCTCACCTCCTGGCTTCCCTACAAACAGGCGTCATGAACCTCTATCTCCTGGCACCATTCCTAACCCCTTAAAAACAGGCAGTCATTACCACCACCCTCAAAAAAAACTTACATTGACCCATCTTTCTTCTCAAACTACTGTCCCATCTCCAACTTTGCTTTCTTTCCCAGGTCCTGGAACGAGTCACAGTCCTTACCTGGTTTCATTCTTACCTTTCCCATTGTCTCCACTTTGTACCTACTAGCAGCTTCTCCTCCAGCCCTCACACCATCACAAGTGGCATTCCCAAGGCTCTGCCCTTGGTCCTCTCCTTTTTAATATCTACATGCTCCCTTTCGGGTATTTCATTTGCAGGCATGGGGGTTAACTTCCACACGTATGCGAATGATACCCAACTCTCTGCTTCCGTCCTCTACTCCAGGACCACTGCTATTCTGACGGAGTGTCTGTTAGACATCAAGTCCTGGATGAAAGCCAATTTTCTCCAGTTGAATGTCCACAACACCGAGGACCTCACTGGCTTCCCATTCGTCAAAGGATTGCTCCTCCTTTCCTATGCGACTGACTAAACCTTTACCAACCTGTCCGCTCCCTTCACTCGGTGGACACTGACCTGATCCACGTCCTCTGCTGTGCCCACTCCAACATTGACGGTCGGATCTCAGACCTTTATGCCCTTATCCACTGGATCTCCATCCCGGAGGCCCCCACCACCTCGCCCCTGCCCCCTTCAAGGTCCGTCTCAAGATCTTCCTCTTCGACCATGCCTTCAGTCATCTTCCAACCCCCACCCCCCAACTCGCTAGCTCGGGTGCAAACCCTTCACCATCCAGTACCTTGGACGTCCTCCTGATGTGAAAGGCAAGATATAAACGCAATTGGTTGCTGTTGTATAGAAGTTGGTAAGGACAGGATAGGATCCAGCTGTTATATCCTCGCTTTATGTCAAACAGCCTAATAACACTAAGAATAATAAATGAAAAACTACTTAGACAAGGTGCTGAAGCAGCCTGCATCCATGGAAACTTACTCAACGAAGAGTCAATGTCTAGAGGAAGGAATGGGAGAAAACCTGATGAGGCGGGTTGGTTGGGGGCTAGGGGGGGAATGAGAATAGGATTGGCCACAATCTTTAACAGAAATGTTACACTTAACTATAATGCTTTGTGAACAGACAGATTTGGTTTAGAACATAAAAAAATTTCTGCGTAAATTTCATGGTTCTTCAATAAAAGGATAGCAAATTGCTCTTTTACTCTAAGTAATGCTGAGCGTAGTAACATATCCCTTCAAGGTCTTGACAAAGTGATCTGTAAGGAACAAGGAAACATGTGAAATTCCATGCAACACTAATTTAGTTGATTGATTTCAGTCCCAGAAACAAACAGATTTTTTTTTTCGCTTCACAACCATAAAATGCTGAGCAATTCACAAAAAGTAAAGAAAGTGCATGTGGTTCAAACCAAAATCAATCCATTTGTGTTTGGTTTACGAGGACAGTCATAGAGTCACCTCTGACCTCAGGACACTTTGGCTGATGGCCCATAGGCATTTCTCCTTGAATTAATAATCCACAGAACCTGCTTATCTTATTATGTCAATGAATATTACCTGTGGACTGCTTAGAAGGTGTGGTACAGTCTGCTGTGGCTGCTGTGGTTGTGGCTGGTGCTGCTGGGTGGGCAGTTTGCCTTCATGATGTTCCTGTTTCACCATCAAATTTTTCCTTAGCTGTTCCACCACTTTTTTCTGAAACAAACAGGAGAAAACAATCACATCAACTTGGAAAATCATTCGCCTTTCAGAAAATCTTACATTATTAGGCTTAGCTGTGAAAGAATCAATTAATAACATATGCATTATGAAGAATTTTAAATGGCCCAGTTGTGTACCAAAAGTTCAGTCTGGTTGAAGAAGGCCCTTCCAATCTCATCTCTCCAGAACATCCAATCGACAATCACCTCATTGCATAAAGCTGTTTTTTTAAACAAGTCTAGAATCCTGGCATCTACCACCTTTTGTGCTACTGATGTATGAACACTGACATGGAGCACCTGGCTAGTTCTGGACTCACATTGTGAACTCCTTGCCGAGTAACTTCCCATCTTAACCATGTTTCCAGCAGGAAATGCCAAACCGAGGTAGTGTCTTTTATGCTAGTACAGGGAAGGACAAAAGAAAAGTTAAACCTGCCTCATAAGCAATACTTTCTTGCCCTCTGTCACTAAGCATGCAAGGGGCAGAAAAACTCACCAATAGAAGAAACTATTCCTACAAGATCCTATCCTGTCCATATGACTACATACATACCATGTTGTTTATCAGAAACAGCTGGGAGAACATCTTAAAACATTTTATTGCCTCAGTGAATTTGAGAGCATTACCGTGGGCATATAGAATTGAAGCCTGGCTTGTCTACACCCTTTAAAATCCAAAGGCTTCAATAATTTCACCCTATGATCACTTTGCCAATGTAAAAATTCCCAATTTGCCCAATCTCTCCTCAAAGTTCAAAAACCTAAATCCCATGACTAATTCTTAGCCTTTGTTGTACCTTCTCCAACCCAAGGATGACAATGGTGAAGCATAGATCTTGGAACTGTATAGGCGGTAGCAATGATTTGTGCAATCCATCATGTGAGTATCCCAAGCAATGCAGTCTAAAATCTAGTTTTACTACTATCGCGACCACATCACTCCCACCCTCGCTCGCCTCCACTGGTTCCCCATCCCCCAGAGGATCAAATTCAAGATCCTCATCCTCACCTACAAGGCCATTCACGGCCTTGCTCCCGCCTACCTCTCCGACCTACTATCCCCCTACTTACCTGCCAGTACCCTCCGTTCCTCTGGCTCCGGTCTGCTCCACATCCCCAGCCCCAACCGCCCAGTGCCTTTGCCTTGCTTCATACCTTTCCTCCTTCAAGGCCGGTCTCAAGACCTTTCTCTTCAACCGTGCCTTCACCTCCCCTCTCGACTCTATACCCCTCCTCGCTCCCTCCATTCCCTCCCCTCACCCTGACCATTTCCCCCCTGCTCGGGTCCCGACCCAACTGTCCAACGCCTTGGGACGTCCGCCCGACGTGAAAGGCACTCTATAAATGCAATCATGTTGTTGTTGTTGTAGTTTGCTGTCTTTACTGCTATCACACACTGCTGAAGGTTTTAATGAGTTATTAATTGGCCCCTCCAGATCCTTGGATGCATTCTATAAACAGACCATTTATACTTGTACTTTGTCCTTTTCAACGGGCCCATATCGGTGCTTTATTACCTCTGATGATCTTATCTGTGGTATACGCATACTCTGCATCTACAGTAAAACATCCTTAAAATTATTTCATTTCGCTTTTGTAATTGTATCCTCCAATAAAGTAACCTGAATCAACCTCATTAGTTTCTTCCTCATCGCCTTAAATTCCACTCCTAAGTCCTTGAGTTTCTGCTGCATTCCACCCATTTTCAATTGTAAACACGATTATATTCAAACTACTTGTAGTCACCAGATCCTGGGCGTTATCTAACCCAACAATTATAAGTTAACATCAACCATTCCCACACAGAGGAACCGCAGTTACTTTCAATTGGAATTCCATCCACAGTTATTTCTGAATTCTTTTTTCCCCAATATGCTCACAAATTACATGCCAAAACAGAGTGGGTTTCATATTATTTACCAGATTTTCTCCAGCTCGTTTCCATTATGCATTCACATAGACAAATCTATTGTGTGCATGCTTGTAATGTAAATGTGATGGTACAGATTTACAATGCAAGAACATTACAGGGTTGGAAATGGAATTCCTCCATCCTGATTTGCACAATTAAAAGAGGAGAAATAAATAAAATTCTCATTTATTCCTGAATTCTAACTAAAATAAACCTTTCTCCATTCAGTAAGATTACAGGATCTTTTTTGCTGTTCTGTGCAAATTAATCTAAGTGCTCTTTGTATTACAGCCAAATCCCTTACAGTTATTGACCCCCAACAGTTACTACCCTTCATCTTAAACTGACAGAAATTACAAAGAACCAACAGCCAAGAAAAGGCTCCCTTTTTTAAAAAGTATTGGAATAATTATCATTCATTTCAATAACAGAAGGAGTACATGCATTACACGTGCATCTAAACATCGAAGAAAAAATATACCACAAACGAAAATATCTCCCACACACACACTCACAGATGCAATAAAAAGCACAGTTATGTTCACACAGGATCAATTTAGTGTAAAACAGCTTAAAAGCCAAGCTCGGGATATGAATAGCGACTGAATGAGAGAATTATGAGATTCAGTGAAAGCTGACAGGAGTTGAAGTGGGGGAAGGGGACACACACAAAAGACTTGCACCTGCCATTGGGTTTATGCGGAAAACTAAAACTAAACAGAACAATTACCTAGCTCAAATGAAGGCACTTTTTCAAAGTTCTTGCTGGTTACAATAAATTTAAAATCTTCCATCCACTTCAGAACGAACTCCAGTCATTTCCACTCAAATAAAAGTCCCTGCAACTATAACAGATAGTAGGCGCAAGGGGAAGCTTGCTCCAGTGCCATATGGTTGAAACAAAGAAAGAACCAATCACAACTGGAGTGTTGAAATTGAGAGATAATTACTAACTACACATCACAACCCTGTGGGGACAATATAAGAGGCCCAGCAAATAAGGGGCTTTCAACTTCACATGCTTCTAAGCTTCCCCCAACCTAAGGCTACCAAGTAAAAAGATTTAAATTGCGTTTCAGACACACAATGGCTCCACGGCAAGAGCTCGCTTTCTCCAATCAAATGTTAAATGCCGATCATACGTTGCACGAGAAAGGCCACCCATTACTCTGCTAGGACCTTGGCCAGGCAGCTCTGCTATTGTTTGTCACCCTCGTATAACCTGCATTAACTATCGCTTGCTACTTTCTCATCATTGCACGGAGAACAGCTGGGACATTTTACATGTTCTCTCTCAAAATAATCAAAGTTAGAAAACCCTGAGAGTGGCACAGATAAAAAAAAATACAATGTTATTCGCTGTACAAAAGGTAATTGAACACAGGTGCTGAGATAGGTCATTCAATATAAAAGCTATTCTTTGGCTTTTTTTAAAAAAAGCTTCCAAATAGGCTAATTATTCCACAAACAGTGCAGCAGTTAAGCCTTTAAGAGTGCAGAAAGCATCTTGGGGGGTAAAATCAAAAATCTAACAAAGTAACTGTGAGTTTAGTCCAGGACTATTTGATTTTAATGTGCACTCATTGTTAAAATTCTGGTTATGATCATAAGGAATTGATTGCAATTTTGAAAGTTAAAAAGATCACTCATGGGGTATAATGTACAAATTACCATGCACAACATCTACTGCATCCCAGGTAGAGAAAAAATAAAAGTATTCTTGCATCATTATTCTTTACACTGTGACAACCCATCTTTCAGACATTGATTCAAAGTCAAACAACATCAAACATTACTTTGCAGTACAGCTGAATGCTTCTAATTGGGATATTCTACTGAAAACAAATTTATTCCATCATCAATTCAATACCTATTAAAATCACACTATTCATTATTTGGTGAAAAATTCATTATTCTCATTTAAAATGTTGAATAACAAATATTGTTCTTTTAATCCTGAAAAATTCTGATCTAAGTACATCTGGAACTGGTGTATAAGAAAGCATCTTATAAAAATGCTGTGCACAATTGTCTGCTGTGTGTCACCCACAAAATATAGTCAATTCACTCTACAATATATTCTGTGAAGTGCTTTGAGACGTCTCCACGATGTGACAAGGCACTATATCAAATGCAAGGATTATTATAATAAAAGAATAATCTCAATAATCGGTATGTTCTCTCACTGAGTATAAATTAGCGTAGTCCTATCCGTTCTGTCTCATCTTTAACCACCCTCTCCTTTTTGCTTTTTCAGTATCCTTTCTGTTCTTTTTTAACTTCTTACCAGTACAGAATAATCACACTGCACTTAAATAGAAGTTTGATGGCTGTCTTTCAGAGTCAATGAAATAGTTGGTCCTTAGCAAAAAAGTAGCAGCTATTTAAATCCTGTGCCCCAAACTAGAAAGACATTGAAATGTGGCTGTTATTTTACCCTGTGTTCACTGTCTTAAAATGTATTCATTATGCAAATGATAACATGTGGGCTACCTTTGTACTACACTACTGTACACCAATAAACTACATCTTTATTTCCAGCCTTATAAGCTCAAGCTAATTTCCCAAACATGAAATTTACTCAGTAATATATCAAAATGCATCAGAATCAGTAAATCTCAAGTGCGACTGGAGTTTAGAAGAAACGCTCTTTCCCCAGAGGTTTGGCTGTGATACCAGCTACCACCTTGGTAACACTGTCTCTCTGGGTTCATAGATAAAGAATAGCACTTAGGCAAGATGTTTGAGAGCAGCAGCGTACCAGTTAAAAAAGCACACACAGCCAAACACACTACCAATCAGCATTAGCATCATTTTGATAGACAAATATTCAACTACAAAATAGTCACAAACTACACTTTACAGTAAATCCTGTGAAGCACTTTGAGACATCTTCCTGATGTGAAAAGATGCTATATGAAATAAGGAGGGTTTTTTTTTATATTAAGTCCAGCATTGTGGCATCCCAACCTGCACCGAACTCAATGGGGAATCTGGGAACAGATCTTCAAGAACTGCAGACGTTCAAGAACTGCAACTTGTTACACAAGATGTCAATTATACAACTATTCCAGGATAAG